TTGATAATATTCATGTATGATTATAGTATTTATATTATAACACTGATTTTAAACTTTATTTTATAAATCTTTATGTATAAAATTTATAATGACATGACAAAGCAAATGTGAGATGGCTGTATGGCTGAAATTAAAACCATAATTCATACGTGTTATAAAAGTTTTTATAACTCTATGATATCACATTTGTCTCTTTCTACATCACAGTTTTTCGATTACAGGTCATATCTCGCGATGAACAGGCATATGAAGTAGTTGCGTTATTTACTTTTGGCGCATTTACAACTTCTGATAAGTGGGTAAAAATGGAATGTATGATGTCCACTTCCATCTGAAAAATATTAATTTATAAAAATATTAAATGTTACATTTATAAATAGATAAAGAGCTATATACAACAATACCTTCTCAGTAGATCCATTCCAAATGGAAAATCGAAAGTATTTGGGATGTATTCAGCACTAAGCGCTTCGCTAGTCTTTTTGTCAATCGCGCCATTGGTCAGTTCCATTTCCTTCGCCCAAGCCTCCAATCCACGATCTTTCGCATTACCTTAATTTTGAAAGAATTAATAAAAACATCTCCATTGTTATTTCTATCAACGATACCTGGAATAATGTTGTCCAGGAAACAGCCTAAAAAACCGCCTACTAAAATAGTAGTACTGAGTAATACAGTGAATACACTGTCCGCTATAGCATTTCCCGTTTGTATCACGTCTGGATATTTGATCAACCATTTCGATAGAACCTGAAATAAATCTTGCATGTGTCCAATTCATTTGCCTGCATTGATACGCGAATAAATGAGAAAATCTGTCTTTCTTTCTCTCTTTATCTCTCTTTGTCAAATTAAGTATTCTCTTGTGCATACTCACCAGAGGGAAAAACATAGATAAACCGAGAATGAATAGATTTCTCGGAGAATTAAGATTTATATATTGTAATGCTGACAAACCTGAAAAAAATTATAGATTAATAAAAATAATAAAATACAGGAAATAATCAGAAATAATCTTAATAGAAGTAAAATTCTAATTACTTATACAAATATTGTGATTAAATTCAATATCTCTTTTTCAAAATCCATTGTCTATCCATGATCAATTTTATTTATCTCGCACAGATCACAGGTGGGTTTTATATTAAACACATTCTTTTGTTAGTGATTCTAGTGGTTCTTTTGTTAGTGATTTTAGTGGTTCTTTTGTTATTGATATTTATAAAATTAATATTTAATTTCGCGATCAAGGATATATTATAGGATTCTAATTTACACTCACCGAATGCACAAATCATCCCAAACATAACGCAGAATATTCCGCCGACTATCGGCTCGGGAATTATGATGAACACGGCGCCGAATTTGCTGATCACCCCTTGCAAAATCATCAAGAGGCAGGCCCATTGTATGACTCGACGGCTGCCGACCTTGGTGACCCCTAATTATTTCCGCATTACGTTAGCGTTACGTTCATCAGATGATATTTGCATTATAAATTTATATTAAGCTCACGGTGAAAGCGTATAAATTGTCTGTTACCTATTGTGCCGACATTTTCGCCGAATGTATTTGTACCATTACCGCTACCCCAAAGTCCGGCCAGCATTGTACCGAGACCTTCTATTCCGATACCACGATTGATCGCATGAACCGGTGGTGGAGGTGCTCCTGAAAATTTTCGATAAATCACAAACATTGCATCATTGTTGTAGTAAAAATTTTGCTTTTAACTCTTGTTCTACCTAAGGTGTTAAGTATCATTGATAAAAGATTTTTAATTGTAAATAATAATATTATTTACACTCTTGCTGTCTGTTCTTTTGGCATCCTTGGAATTAGAAAGAGAGGGTTCGATATAATTTTATTATCGTAGCATTCATCTCTTGGGAAGAAAAATCACAGTTCTTAAACACAGTTTCTTAAATAAATGTACTCACCACACATTCTTGCAGTGGTTGGATAATAGCTGATGGATTCGACTGTGCACGCTAATACCCCCGCCAACATACCAAGTACACCCGACAATGTTACGGTGGGTACACCCCACTGTCCGGGATATGGTATCCGAAACCAGGGTGAGTCGCTTATAATTCTCAATTTACTGTCGGATCTAGCGGGATGACCGAATGGTAATGTGTCGGTTACTGTTAATATAGCGCAAATTATCCACATGACGATTATCGTCAGCAAAACCTAGAGCAACAAGTATTTCAATTTAAATACAATATATTCATACGTGAATTTATAGAACCGACAATTTCATAAACTGATGTAAAAGCTCTTTCAAGGTAACATTTTTAAATAGAAATCTAATTAATAAATATTCAGACTTACGATACGATAGAATCATTTATTTGTATTATGATAATTCGCGTCATTGTTAGAGGTTTTTTCTTGGTACTCACTGGGAAGAGTTTGAATAATTCGAACCAGATGATTTGGAGTCCTTGGCCTTTACGATACATTGGAAACGGAAATGGAATGTTGACCATTATTTGAGAACATGTAGTCAGTAATATTATTGTTCTATAAATATTCATTAATGTTTATAAAGTTCCAAAAAATAATTATATATATATATATAATTTATACAGTACATTTTTTTACGTACCCAGCCGCGATACCCCAATGCTGAGATGCAGCATCCGCAGCATTTTCGAAGAGGGATAGCCCAACCAATGAAACCGTCGGCACAATTGTCAATGGAGTTATAAATTTCAGCAAGTACCCGACAATACCTGCATATATATGTGCTTTTATTATTCCTCGTTAAAAAAATGAAGGAAAGAGAGGGAACGAAAAGTGTATTATGCGACCAATACGGATCAATTAAAGCCAGACGCTCACCTCCAAACCCGATAATTACTTGAAACAGAGAGGAAACGGCAATCGCTCCTGACAATTCTCTCATCCGAGTTTGCCAAAGTTCGGTCCGGTTTTCAGGGGACATTTGCTCCATAACTTCCGACGCGGGACATTGCCACTGCGGTAGATTCAATATCGCCAGAGTCGGTACGAGGAACGATATAGTACCACCCTGTACCAATGGCAATCTGGTGCAACATACTTGATTAATTTATTAATTAATTAATGCAAGTAGATTTATTATAACATCGGGAGAGTTGTTTCCTAATTTATTTAATTTTGTAAACTTGCAAATAAAAAGTTTTATTAAAATAAATTTCCCTCTAAGATTGACGAGACCTTTTTTTACTTCATTATCTTCAACTTATAATTTAAAGACATAATAATAATTCTTTGATTTGATTAAGAAAATATTTTTAGAAGAATTGCTAGATTGATAAATAATATTATTTTAATTCTAATTTATATGTATTTAATGCAGTAATAAATTTTATGTACTGCATCTTATTGCAAAATAATTTTACACTTACCTACATCCTACGGTAATCTGAACAAACGTTATCAGACCTGTGACAAAGATCATCGTGGAAATAACGTGACTTCTGGCAGGATCATCTTCGGCCATACAAAGGGCCGGCGTTAGAATAAAAGGGATAGAAACGATGGCGCCAATCATGGTCAAGTAATGCTACAAACGCATTTGTTTTTTTTTATTTTCTTTAATAAAGAAAAATAATGCTCACGATTTGAGAAATTAAACATTTAGCTAAAGTTATCTTAATATCATAAGCTAATTTTCTCTGCATATATTTCCGAAAAATTATGTAAATAAAATTGATGTAAGTTGACAATGTTTTCTTCCATAAAATTTATGGTATAATGTCGTCATGTATGCATAAAACTTAATATCTTTATAGCTCGCACGTCTCGCTTTTATCTTATAAATAAACATCACGCGATAAAAGTTTTTATTCTTCTACGAGATATATATCTGCTTTATACTTTAACGTTAAAATAATTATTTCCGTATTTTTTTCAGAATACAAGCCAATTAAATACTAAAGATTTGTAATTATCATTTTGTTCATAACAGCTGCTCAGTACAAAATAGATGTGTATATAGTTATGACAGGAATTGCTAGAATCTGAATTTTATTTATTTAATATCTTATTTTAATATTTATTTTATATATTAAATTGAAATACATGTAATACTAAGAAATCGCACGCATTTAATATCTAGTATAAAAAAAAAAAACGATAAATATATGACTATGAAACCTGTAATGCCATGAACAAACACAGATACCATGGCGGGATATCGTCGATACCATAAGTAATCTCGGGATTTCTGTTCGTATCATTTGTTGTTTCTTTCGATATTGGAGCAGCCGTCAAATTATCTGTGTTCTAAAAAATTAAAGAATAAATTTATAAAAAAAATGACTATTATATTTAACCATATTTCGAGTAAAATATCATAAAAATATACTTTAAGCATATGGTTTCATAAAATGGAATTGCATACTGTAACAAAAACTTTATCATTAGATATATTTAATTTTATTATCAAAAAGATTACTTGCAATAATGATTTATTTTTAAAAATACTTTTAATATTTAATAAAATTGGATTTTTATCAATCGAATATTTTATCTGTAAAAAAGAAGAGAATAACATAAGAATATCAGAATAAAAGAGAAGACGTAAAAATATAAAATTTAAAAAAAACATAAAATAATCAAGGTTTTTTTATATTATTTTATATATTTTACATTATTTTATAGCTGCAATGTACATTTTGTTATATATTAATAAAAAGGTTTCAATGTTAAATTTTTTTCTTAGAAACATATAAACATTTGTTTATCAATAATATTATAAAAAAGCAAGTAATACTCTTTTTTTGCTGTTCAACTCAATGTGAGATCACACATTTTCTGCTCACATATGTTCTGCATATTTTTCTCATAGAAACTTATTAAAAATTTTATATATCTCCAGATATCAATATTTAAAGTATATTAATATACGCGCATTGAATTGTGAAAACACATCATGTAACTCATTTAAAGATCATTCATAAATGAGTATGTTTATAAAACTCAAAATATCAGCTATAATCAATGCAAATAAATTAATTTCCATCTAAAGAAATAATTATCAGTTTAATCTCTGAAAAACACATATGATTTAACATTTAAAGTACCTTACAATATTACAGTTTTTTACTTCAGACCTCATCATGTTTTCTTATAGATACACTTTATGTAAATATTAATAGATCCATTAATATATCAAGATATTTATCCCTTTTCCCTCTTTATTTTTTTTTAATGTGTTTTAGAAAATTATCAAAAATAAACAAATTAATAAAATTAACAAATTATTAAGGACAAACGAATAATTATTAATAATTATTAAGAAAAATCCAAGAAAACATTTTAAACCGTAATAGAAAAGACCTTTGTCATATCGAACACTCTTAAATGTATTTAAATGTATTTAAATCGTTTTGCTTATAGCCAACAGAAATATATTAAAGATTCTTTTAATCAACATTAAAATTTTATTTCGTTCATTCATTTTTTAATATTTTTTTCGTTATGCAAGTTGCATAATCTCTAAATAATATTGTAAAATTATCTACGAGAGAAAACCTAATCTTTAGCAATTCCGTGCACGTGTCTGGAACATGCTCGTTTTCTAGATCTTTTTTCAGATGTTTCAATAATTTACATTACGTAAACCATACTGATATTATCTACACTTGTATCAGCAAATTCGCTATTTCCACGTACTGACTGGCACCAATTAACATTAATGGAATAAGATCGATGCATAAAGACGCGAGAGCTGTCGAAGCGGCATCTTATGCAATGCTGCATCTTTTTTTTTCTTCACCCGAGCATCCACGCTTGAGTGAAAATTTCAATCGCGTTTGCTTCCAGGAAAGAAGATTTATTGTCAGTCGTTAACTTTATGGTCTCCCGAGCGAAATCACATTAATAATCGTAGCTAATATTAAGGCCAGCCAACAACAAAATCAAATCTTGAGACAGATTTTATGATCGTTTTATTCTTTGTTTGCGTACTTATTTTGCGGAATATGTTCGTCTAATTCTGATCTCTGTGCAATTGATTACTGTATTCATATCGAGTAAACGTATCTCGACGGTCACATTTAATTCTTATGGATGTGCTAAACGCGTGACGACAACGTGAACACATGGAATTTTCCTGAACCTTTATTAGCAGATATTAGCAGATTTAACGGAGGAAGATTCCATTGTTTGCGTGAGATATTAAAACTTAATCTAAAGTAGTCTCTAGAAATAATATAATCGTATTCAGAATTGCAAAACAAGATAAATAGATATATTGAAACAAGTATTCCACATATCAGAGAATGCAGTTGACGCAATTAAATATGTTGTGCTTATGCAAATCTCTGCAATTTTCTGTTTTTATAAACGTCAATGCTCGATTATGATGTAAAAATAATAAATACACAAATAATAATACAACACATAAGATTTAATAATTCCTGCGTCCTTTATTGCACGATATTTAGATAAATATATTCATTTTATAAGTTATTTATAGTTGTCGATTAAACAATGATTTAACAATATTTTATTTCACATTTACTTTTGAATAGCAAACTTTTTAATCGATTTGCAATTAATTTTTTTAGCAGGTGCCATTGAAAAAAATTGATAATTTTAATTATTATTTATTAATTAATAATCGTAATTAATAATATTACGCATCCTTTTTTTATACCGAGCTTGATGCAAAAGTGGAGATCTATTAAAATTCATTGAAATATGATATATATTTAACTCAATATGAATATAATTATGCAAATTATTCGCATTCCTCTGAAGCTTGTTTCTCGAAGAAATGTAATTTATTTTTAAATCATTTATGAATGAAGAGAGGTCCAATATTTTTAAATCTTTGTTCAATCTTTGTTCTAATTTATCAAATTCTACTGAGGAGCGATATCGAGATATCTTAACACTCATCACGTAAAAAAAAAATCTCTCTTCGTTCGAAATTTACTTACCAATTCGAACATTTGCATTCCGTTCACGTTTTCTGGCATTTTGATAAAAAAAAACACAGGAAACGGAATAGTCCTCGATCGACAGCTCCGTCCGGCAAAATTTCACGAAAATTCGTTACCGAAGAATAAAGAGCACGTTTAAATAGACGCGTGATAACGCCCAAATGTATCAGACTATACGTGTCAAATCATCGCACGTAATCTCGTCTTGAATATGTTGCCCTGTTGCGATACAATCCACCATCTATGTTCGTCTCTATTAAGCAATTGTTTAAAAGCAACGCGTCCACCGTAGTGCATTCCATCCCCTCCGAGCAAAACACACGGACACATTGATAATGAACAATGCAATCGCGGCTCGATTTAACGGCAGGATTCAGTTAGTACTTGTAGTGACGACGGGGGAATACACGAGAGTTATGTGGGAATAACAAAATAAAAAAGATTACATTTCAAATTGCTAGCGCTCCTTCTTATTCTTTTCTTTCAAATGAGGATATATATGGCCCAGTAAAGTGAAATGTTAGCAGTATTGCTCGCGATCTTCCGGCAGAAAATTGCACCAGATTAGCATCAACTGCGTTCGCATTAAACTAATATTTTGCAGCCTGTCAACATGACTTAACGTTATCGAGAGAAATCAAGCAGAACGTGACGTTAAAATTATATCAGCAGATTCTGCTTTTTGCCGACAGAATACAGATCCATTTTGTTTCCTTCAGTAGTTTAATCATCGTATTCTGCCAGCAGATTCTGTTACATTTCTTTCCACATTCGATCAACAGCATTGTATGTATTTAGTTTTGTATCAATTTTATTATCACTTTGCTAATAGATGCTTTGCTTTCGATAGACTTTACTATCTGGGTATTACTATTTTTTTAAAATAAGTATTAATTTATACGTGTTTCAAATATCAAACAAGTTTTTGTGACTTCTTCATATACATAAAATTCGAATTTATCAATTGCTTATCATTTCGAGTAATTACGTGCACAATAAATATTTAATAAAGCGATTGAATGTGAAAAGATTATTAATAGGTCTAAACTAAATTGTAGTACTGTGAACCATATAAGTGAATTAGAAATCCAAGAGATTTGAGGGAAAAAGAATAATTTATTTTATTACATTATTACATTATTTTTTATGTACATATATAAATATATAAATAATATTTATATCTAATTTAACTTGAATAAGTTTAATTTTAACAATTTCAATATGAAATTGTTTTCCTTATTGTTTTTCTATAATTTTATTATTTAAAATAGAATTTTTTTTAATTTAATAATTCTATTTAATATTTATTTAAAATTTTATTGATAGTCTTTATCAAAATATGACTTTTACTTACATTCTTTTGTAGTCTTTTTATTTGACAAATAGCATATTTCAACTTTGTTTCCGTCCTTCTTTGTAAATTTAACATTGTTACATAATGTTTTTGTAGTCTTTGAATTTTTTTTTACAATCACAACACTTATTATAGGTAGGTATTCAGCTTATCACATGATGGAGAAATTTAATAATCTTCCTTTGAATCTTCTTTTTTTATTATATTATTGTCTTTTACTTCTTTGTTTGTTGACTTCATATCACTTATTGCATCATTATTGATACTTAAATTTACATTGTTTTCCAGTTCTTCGATAATATAGATTTCCATGTTGTTTATCTTATTATCGATAATCAATTCTTTTAAAACAGATTTATCAATATGTATATTGTCACTATGTTAACATATTCATCATTAATATCACATGTATATAAAATTACTATTCTAACTATTGTTATCTTGAGGACCAATAAATGTTTCCAATCCTATTATAAATATATAAAAAATAATAGCAAAATTTCTTTTAAATACAAATAGATAGAATTTTTAATATATAATTATAACATTAAAGATAAAATAAAAAATTTAAACAAATAAAAAATTACCTGTGTATTGAAACAAGGTAGGTATAGCATTCCTTTTTAATTTACGTAACCATCTACGCGGTTTTTTTCTCACATTTCGGGAGCAAAATGTTCCTGTACACGATAGATTTAATTTTATTTTAAAATTTTATATGTATCAAAAAAATAAATGAATCTAATTAACTTTCGATACTACCTCACACAATGGTGTGATACCCCGTTGACGTCCCGATTGACCACTAGCCATTTATAGGGGCTGACGCCTAGAATTTTTCCACTGTTCAAGCGCTGTGAGTGGCTAGTGGCTAGAGTGGTCAATCGGGACGTGATCAAACGGATGTCACTCCACACAATGCCGAATGTATAGTAGGTTTCCAATCCTCTTGGCCAACATGCGCAATCCAAATTGCATATCTCTCTTTAAGAGGAAAATAACACATCTTTTTTTCTTTCTCCGTGAGCGATTCATTGATGAATTACTACAACCTTTTGCTGCGCAACTGGCATTTCGAATTTAAATAAAATAACCTCAAATAATATAAACAATAATAATAATAATAATAACAAAATCTGAATTGTTATCAAGATTATGATGCGGTTCAAAGTCGTTTTAAACAGTGCAGCCTTAAACCTGATCTACAATAGGTAGTTTAAACCTTAAGCCGTATTATTCTTCTATAAATCGATTTTGATTGGTCAATTTCTAGCAACTTGAGATTTGTATGAATAATGTAGAATCAGCCTTAAAGTCTTGTATTCACGATAGTGATGCGAAAATTTGAAAGAATCGATTCTGACATTAGATTTTTTCTTTTTACCGAATTGATTTTTAGAATCGATGCATCGATTACAAAAAAAATTCTTAAGAATCGATTCTTTAAACTAACCTGACGCTCTGAATTAGCGTCAAACTAGATCACGTGATCAAAAATGACTATTCAGATTTCACTATTCTGTTTAATTTTGATCATGTGATCTAATTTAACCCTAAAACAGCGTCATAACGTGAAAACGCACCCTTAAAGCTGCTATTTTGTGGAAAAGCGAGGAAAATTTGATTATGTAATAATGCAAAGAAATTGGAAAAATTAGAGAAATTTCAAAACAATTAAAAAATCTTATTTAATAATATAAAATGAGAATCAAAGAATCGATTCTTTAAAGAAGGGAATCGATTCAGTAAGAATCAAGATTTTAAAAAATCGATTAAAAATCGATTATTTATTGTCCAGAATAATCGATTTTTCAAAAATCGGAAAAGAATTTGGCATCACTAGTCTACGATATTAGAAATTGTTCCGGGATCTCGGACCAATCATTTTTTCGCTCTTAAAAAGCGGTAGATCGATTGGCTATGGCGTCAACTTCCGTCGCATATCTTTTTCTTCTTCTTGTTATTGGGTAATTTCCGTTTAGTGACACAAGTCGACACAAGTATCATTTTGTCCTTGTTAATCATTGAAAGCCAAGAAAGATAAAACGATACTTGTGTCGACTTGTCACTAAATGGAAAGCACCCATTGTAGCATGGCCGTAGCTTCCTCACGAAGCGAGCATAGACCACAATTCATACAAAAAAATGAATAATCGAAATGATAATTGTGCAATAATCGAAAATGTGTGATGAGCAACAGCTGAAAGTAACGTGATGATGCAATATAAAAATTTTCTGAGGGGACAAAACATGTCCAATCTATACAACGGTTCGAAAATGACTCGCGCGGCAAGCATTATCGCATCCTGTGTGGAGAAGCCATAAGGCACAACAAAAAAGAACGGACCCATTACTTGTTATTGTCTATTATCAATCCTCACCCCATTTGTGGCTAGCAAATGTCTGCCACTATGGTTAAGTCTTATTTGTAAACTTGTTTAACTTAAACTTTAACTTAAACTCCCGTGGACGTTGCGGATCATTATTTTCGAGGTCAAATTACGTTTGTAAGTCTCACGATATCCATTGGTTTTTCTCAGTGATATTTAGATACGTAACGCGTTCTCGAGTTCACACAATGGAGGAATACGACGAACCTTCCGATGTTGAGATGGTGCCTATCGAGGATATAGATAAGTGGAGAGCGAATTTGAAACCAGAATCACAAGTACGGAAGCAAATAATCTTTATTTAAAATGTATATCCTTAGGAAGGGTACACATTTTAAATAAAGATTATTTATAAGGAATGGTATATTCTTGCTAATACATAATGAAATACATTTTATGTTATACTAAGTTCCTTCAGATGCAATCATTGGACAGTCACTCTGAGAGACCCACGGATACATTTACAACAGGCATAGATATATTCAGTAAAGAAGAAAGATTGAAGATGGAGGAACGAGCTAAGCGTTTTGGCTTGACAGAGAAATCTACAGAATCATTTAATTTAGAAGAGGACTTATATAGCAGGTATAAGATACTTTGTCGATTTGGAAATTAAATCAATTATGATGACTTCATATTCTGATGATTGCAGTATGGGTATCATAGATGATGGTGAGAATGCGAAGAATGTTAGGTTGAATGTTATTCATATGAGAGGAACTGAGGATATGAGCACCCAAGATGTATTTACATATTTTCAAGATTATGCTCCAAGATCTATTGAATGGATTAACGATGTGTCATGTATGTTTTAATGTTTGATTTTATTTGACAAAATGATGAGATACTGTTCGCTACTAATGTTTTAATATTTATCATTTATATATTACAGGTAATGTAGTCTGGTTTGATAAAGTAACAGCAGCCAGAGCTATGCTGGGATTATCCAAAAGAATTTTAGGTAGTGTTGCAAAGTATTCAAATCCAGAAAATAATGATTCTGAGAATAGAAAGAATGACAAGATAAATGAAGAAAATGAATCTGTCGATATAAATAAAGATGGAAAGGAGGAGAATTGCATAAATATCAAAGATATCAATTATCCATTACCTCCAGGTATATGGAGGAAGGGTATCGATTATCCAAAATCTAAAGGAATCTTTTTAAGATTTGCTACCAGGACGGATAAAAAACAACTCAATGCAGAAAAGAAGAGTGAATACTATAGGAAGTATGGAAATCCTAACTTTGGAGGTAAATATACAATTTTATGAATAACAAAGTTAAACCAGGATGAAGAATAATGAAGACAAAAGTATTAAGATTGCTTTGTTTCAAATGGATGTATAGGTATTAAAGGAATTCTAACAGAATCTCGTAAGCGTATGTACAAACAAATAAAACAGACTAAACATAATAAGTCATCAATTGAGGAAAAAAATCAAGATCAAACAAAGAATCCATGGGGCGCGTTGTCTGAGTCATGGGGTTTGAATGATGTTGTGGAGGAAGATTTTCTTCCAAGGAATGGTGTTAAAGACCAAGGACGTAGCATAAAAGAGAGATTGGGTCTCAAACAGGTAGATAAGGATACAATACAAGCGGAGGAATCGGGTGAGACCAGTTCGAATAGCGATAGCGATGAAGATTGGTGTAAACGTAGTAAAATTCCCCGAATGAGAATGCATGCCGATGATGAGGAAGAAAAAGTGCAGAAACGACGAGCGAAACTTCGATTTCAAGTTAGATTCCTTCTTTTTTTTTTTGTTAATAAAATTATTCATTTATTTCCGAAATTATATCTAAGATATATTTTGTTTTCAATAGATGATTCTCAATAACTTAAATAGCAGCGGGGATCTGCGATCAAAATTGGGAAGGCCGAAAACGAAAACACAATATCGCGAGCCTATTCAAGTGGTGGTTACAAATACAAATGCAACAAATTCGAAACGCAATAATACTGAAATAATCCGACAGCAAGGTCATCAAAGTGTAAAAGACATACAACCGTCGGAAAGAGAAGAGGGAGAATGGCAGGAATCGGATGAAGAAAGCCATGAAGAGGAAGAAAACAAAGAGGAGCAGAGGCATGGCCAGCGTGGCTTAATGATAATGGAAGAGAGAGAAGAAGGAGAAGAGGAAGAGGGTGAACACAAGGAGGATGAAGAGGATAGTGGCAAAGAAGATAACAATGTACCTGCAAGGGAGGTTCAAGGTCCTAAAGGAAGCGTGATAAAGGTAGTCCCGCCCAAACCACGTATTGCTTCCACTGTATGGGCAAGATTAAATCATGCAAAAAGTGAAACCAGTGACAGCTATTTGAAAAAGAGGTGAGAAAATAATTTAATTTCTTGCTTATTGAAGATATCGAACATAAATGATTTCTCTCAATTTTATATTTTTCCTTTTCTATTAAATTTTTCATTTTAACGAACTTTCAAAATTAAATGTCCCGGATGAATTTTTAATTTAATCTTGTAGTTTTATTAAAATAAAATAAAATGTAGAGAAATATTATAGAATATAGAGTGATACTTTGTATAGAAATTGTAATATACAATGATTTTTAATATACGTCTTTCGATATCTTTGAAAAAGTATACATATTTTTATATATGTATAATATACAATGAGATATAATTCTTATGTATATATATCTGTAAACTTATAAATTATATCTTTTTTTTTTAAAGGCAATCAGGTAATCGCGACTTGAGAAATACCCTGAAAAGTGGTGATCTGCGATCACGTATCGGAAATCACACTAGAGGACGTTCTCCTTTAAGAATAGAAGTTAAGAATGATAAATACACAAAAGACGGTAGTGATGGAAAGTGATTTTCATATGAACTAATTGTTCAAAAATTCGAAACTTGTAAAAAAGTGTACTCATTATTCTAATATATTGTTATAAGACTTTTTCGTAATATTTTATAATAGCTACGGTGGAATCGTTATAAATCGCACATAGACTATACGTATACACAGGTATATATAATTTACGATTTTAATGAAGTTTTTCTTTTTTTATCATTGGAAAAATTGCAATTATTTTTATGCATATATATCATGAGGAAAAAAAATTAAATCTTTATATATATAAAACTATTATTTTAAGCTATATAGTTAATAATCAATCTTCCAATAATGACCATTATTGTTTTATTTTTATTATTAGACAGATAATGAATGCTTCTGATGATATTGCATGTATATTTGATTCATCGTGTATTTACAAATTAATATATATTTGTGCGGACAACCAAATATTTCGATCGAGATATTTGTGTAATTATGAGAAAAGAAAAATTTCCGAAGAGATCTCTTTTATGTTGTTTCGTAGTGCAAAACATAAAGCATGTATCTTTTGCATCAAGAGTATCAGATGAAAGTATAGTTTCATAAGAACAGCATTGCATTACTCGAAATAACGAATCGAGATATTTTGTAAAGGCAACTAATGACCTAGGATAATACTCGATGTTTATTGTGAAAAAGGAAAAAAAAGTAACAAAAGAAATAAATGATAATTTGTATGCTGTGTCACGATCACCATTTCTCTTTCGATTTTCTTATCGCTGAATTTTCCGCCTGACAAATTCTGTCGATGTGATCCGATAAACCGTGACCTATGTGAAAGCATGTCATAAAATTTTACTTTGTTATCCTCTGCGATGACGTAACCAAAAGTGAAGTTAACAGAAGGTATTTGTTTATGCGTTTAAAAGCTTACAGGGATCACACGAATAATATGAATAAAAAAACATCAAATGATTCGCCAATATAGCCGTTTTTATATTAGCACAATAATAGTTGGAATAGCTATTTAAAATACAATAGTTGATAATGATAATTTAATTAACATGAATTATGACGATCTGTCACGAATAACAATCATTTGGAACGGCAATCGAGGAAATAAAAAAATCGGATAAAGAACACAGTAAAGTACATTTATTTCTTAAATAGCTGCTTAGCTACATTCATAGGTTCTTATTTATCTCTTATATAAATATAATTTTCCCGTTGAAGACTATATTTTCAAAAAATAATCCATATTTTCAAACCGAAGTTATTGTACTCGAAATAATTTATTTCCCGCTTTTGCAGCAGTTTATTTTCATGCTGCGTTTTTTTTTTTTTGACATCAATCCTGTAATTATATTTTATATTTGTCGAATAAATGATACATTAAAGATTATAATTTTAATCTTATTCACATGTATTATTTGAGTATTTTTTCGCATACGTGATAATAACTTGCACGATGAAAATTAGACGTGTGATAAATATAACATTAAAATTTATTTGCTTCAATTTTAGCTTTCCGATTGTTTCATTTGTTGTACTATTTGTACACATTGTTCCATTTCGAATTCTTCCAAAAATTGTTGTACAAATTTAATTGATTGGGCGAGGCATCGTCTTTTTAAATTATCACGATTGATGCTCCGATAAGATATTCCTCCGCGATTTAACTCTTATAGTTCGTTTCAGCATTACAATCCAAATGATATTTACATTCGTCTTTAACGCTATGAATGCAGCTTCGGCGACAAAAACTATCAATGATTCACAGCGACACAATTGAAACGGACAAGACGATATCTTTCACGATTGACTTTAAAGTCAATCAAGATGATCAACGGGATCGCGCAGGACCAGAGCTGGAACGACAGAAAACCGAGGAGTAGAAACATCTCGGGGTCGGAATTCGTTTGTAAATCGAAAAGCTAAGTCGCTTAATTGAGCAACGGCTCTGTAGAACTTTTATGTCCCAAATGGTCTCAAAGCAGCGATGTATAAATAGGTCCTCCCGCGATGGGATCCTTTCCCCGCGCACATCGGTGTACGTTTGCTGTGCACGTGTGAAAAATGCCGATCTTGCCCGTCGTTAAAAGGCAGTTGTACGGCCTTTTTTTTTTTTTTTTTCTTTAAAAGTTTTTCTCTCTTTCTCTCTCGTCGTCTATATGTCTACGTAAAAACGCTAATGATTTAATCAACCATTCGTTAACTCGAAGACTAACAATTGTCTTTCTACTTCTCGAGGAAACGTAGATCCACCATCTCGCTCCGCTGCCTCTTCCACTCTTCTTTACACAGTTCAATGATACATTTCGTCGAAACAACATCGAAAATCGACAGACGAAATACTCCGTGAATGTCCGGATATATAAGAATCGGCAACAACAACAACAAGTACACATACACAACTTTAAGTACATTAGGCCCGATGATGTCGACGATGCTTTCTCGCCGACATATTACGCGCGACGTTCGCAATCTCAGCATTTTCCCCAAAAATGTATGTTTCTCCTTTTTTTCCCCCCCCTATCATTTATATCACAAGCTATATGTACTACGTATCCGATTATCATTGACAGCGAGAGCTTCGATTTCTCGTCGGCTTACAGTTTCGCTGAGCACACGATTTTATCGTCGCTTCCCCATTGATCTATGGTGTATAAGTACTGTAAAAGGCCTCGGATGAGAGCACACTCCGAAATAACACGCGTCTCGTTTAACTCTGCGGTAATAACACAAAGTCTTTGGAGCTAAACGCGATTAAACGTTTTTTACAGAGGGAAAATAGCTTAACATGTATTAAATTCTAACATATTATTATATTATTATGAACTGCTGTACAACGGCTCTCTGTCGAGACGAATAAGGTCCGCAAAGAGGTCACAAAGAGTCATACATGTGCCCACAGTACATTATTAATGTGAGGTTTTTAAAAATCTCTACTGCAAGATTCGTTATATTAATTTAATTCATATTTTTAACTTTGTCGCCGGAAGAATCGTGTGAGAAATAGAAGCACAATATCGAAAAATGTCTGTATCGGAAATAGTCCTTCGTACATTGAATATATTCATTCATGTAACGACAAAAACGGCGGCCCATCCGTGGATCGCGGGAAGAAAAGGTATACATTTATTTTACTTTGAGTTACAAGCATTGAAACTCCTGAGATTATCTCTAGTACAGCATGATCGAATTCATTTTTTTCTTTCAGAATCTGTCGTTACAGAAAATTGTCATCGTTACGAATTTGGATAATTTTCCTTTTGGAAAAAATTATGTGTGTACACAGGTAATTGGACTGCCTGCTGTCTACGCAACTCGTTTTGTAATCAAGGCGTGTGAGACGCGCGAGAAAAGTGTAAATTGCAGGAAATTCCTTAACTCTTTTGTCCACGATAATTTGACAAACACAATGCACACAATCGAATGAACATCGAAAGGAGATAAATATATATTAAATCGACGGAGATTGAAATTATGATATTAACGTAACGACAGAATGTTACTCGCCGTTATGTCCTTGACATCCACTCTCGCGTCTTGAAGGAGATAAAGAGCATGAATCATCTTCAACAAGAATCCGTGATTATTAGAAATACGTCTTAGATCTAGATAAGAATCTTACGAACAACGAATTTTTCTTTAATTATTAATTTATTGGATGTATCGGAGAACGTGAAGATCGGTAACAGTTAATAGAGGAAGTAAATATCTTGCCCCTGTTTTAATATTTTCTTTTTTCTTTCACTTTCTTTGTAATTTTCGCTTCGTCTCTCACAACCTAGTTTCTGGGAATAGGACTGAAAAAATTCTGTCCGTATATTCACGCAGTAAGGCCGAATGGAGCTATCGAAATCAGTTGGCGAATTCGATTTCCAGTAATTCAAATTGACTTTATCGCGGGTAGAAGATTTTGAATTGCGATATCGATTTCAGAAGGCTCCAAGAGCGATGAGGTTCATATGAAATATAAGATTCGTAAAATCTCCGGAAAAAACTAGTTCGGAGCCTTCTTCTACATGTTCATTCAAATTGATATTTTATTCTCGTGACATGGGCACCATTATTATTATCACATGCTCGGAAAAAAAATCACGATTCTTTTTTTAACATTAAATTATATTATATATGATTCTCGTGAATGTGTCGATTACGGCGTTTGCACGTCGTATATTCGCGCTATAACGGTTGACTATCACGAACAGATTAAATATCGAAAGATATTCTGCCACACACATACGTACATACGCACACACAGTCATACGTATACACGTGAGACAAAAAAAACATCATATGAAATGAATTACGCAAATACTACAAGCGTTCGAATTTCGTAGAGTAAACATTTAGCGTACTCTGAAATTTTATTTATGATATCTCCGATATCGGGAAATCTCGAGGGACGATAAGCCGAATGTGTATTGCCCTAGTTATGCCATACAATCACGCGTTGTAATCTCAGCTATCTCGCTTTCGGGAGATAAAAGAAATAATTCCAGAGAAAATGATGAAACAAAGACAAAGTATGTCGCGTGTTACGCCTCGTTACGCTCGCAAAATTATTAAATCACAGACAGACAGTATAGTATGGTACAATGATGATAAATTAAAAGTACATATTGTACCAATTGTGTTTATGTGTTTTTGTGTTTTATGTATGTGTGTATTGTATGTGTGTGATATTATGCTATGTTCGGTATAACATAAGAAACATTACATTTTCTTTCTTCGAGTGCGAAGGATGCGAATGTACAAGCGTATACGCGGACATTGCGACTGTTTCACTCACCCGACTAACCAGCTCGGTTAATCGTTCGTTGATCGCTGAATTAAATCTTTCATCAATATCCTAGTATCTTTGTATCGTCGTAAATTCGAGCGGCGATGAAGTCGCGATGATTGTTAAAAGTACGCTTTCTTCGTATCAATCTCGCTACTTGTTCATTTTCCATTTTCACTCTTTTCATTTTCAGATCATCGCGCGTATCTGCTATTATGATTCCGGCAGCAATGTGCCTGATGAAAGGAAAGAAAAATAGCATTCAGTTATCAGCTCAAGAGGATCAAGAGACTGAAGATGAGGCGGAAGACGAACATTAACAATTAACATTTAACAATTACCAGTAGACTACATAGCATTCTCCTGATTATTCTTTTGGAACAATAGAGTCTCTTCGAAAATATATTGTTTTAATACTTCTTTTGGAAGATCATCCAATTCCATGTCAAATTTAAACGGCTCCTCTGCCACAGGCTGAAATTTACATTACGAGTAGATTAATAGATCCATATCGCGCTCTTGTAGCAAATTAGAAACTTACCTCATCGGCAGGGTCGTAATATTGCTCCAAATAAGGATGCGCCAGCGCGTCTTCCACCACGATACGCTTATTAGGATTAAACGTCAGCATTTTATCCAGGAGATCCAAGGCTCTTGAATCCGCATTGGGGAAAAGACTTGTCCACGGTACCTTTGGTTTAAACGGCAACGATTGAAGATAATTCCGTGCCTGAAATCAGAATGCTTTAATGCCACCATGTTACAAACGTAAAGCGCGATGGGCGTACAAACTGCATTCTAAAATGCACATGTATTCCTGGATTAGATTCTAACGAGATGCAAAGAGGCAGACGTAAGCGTCCAGTACTTTCTCGTTTATGATGCACTCAAGATCCTCCGGCGAGGGCGATCCGAGGATACCGAGAATGTGATTTAACTGATCTAGGTAGTGCTTGCCGGGGAATATTGCTCGTCTCGAAAGCATCTCCGCCAGGATACAACCGACCGACCAGATGTCTATGGACTTGGTGTAACCCTGGGTCAAGGAAGCTACGTTAGAGCCAAATAGTTCTTGTTCTTCGAGTACGTTTTCCTTTATATGGCGATTACCTTGGAATTAAGCATAATTTCCGGAGCTCTGTACCATCTCGTGGCCACATATTCCGTAAGGAAACCCGCGTGATTGTGTTCCGGATCTGCGACTCTCGCCAAACCAAAGTCGCAGATTTTAAGGTCACAAGTGGTATTCAACAGCAGATTACTCGGCTTCAGATCTCTGTGCAACACGTTCGCCGAGTGTATATACTTCAGCCCTCGCAATATTTGGTACAGAAAATAACATATGTGATCGTTACTAATAGCCTGAAAAGGAAAATTTTGTTTTGGACGTCTCGTTAAGTCTGTGTCGTTTCTTTCTTCCTCCTCTCTAATTGAGTCTAGACAGAAGTCGCCTTTTATTACATAGGCGAATACTTACTTGTGTCTTCAGTAATTTATAAAGATCTGTTTCCATCAGACATTGAACGATATACACGTCTTTCATTTGCTCTATAGTCGGCGCTCTTAATATATCCCTTATATCTATTATCTGTGGCGAGAAAAAGAACGACATTAATAACAATATCAATTTGTGAAGAAGTGTTACTTGCAAACTAGCTCGATCGTCCGACTTACGTTCTCGTGCTTAAACCTCGTGAGGATTTTTATTTCCCTTAAGGTCCTCTGACTATACGTTTGATGTTCAAACGGGGAAATTTTTTTAATAGCTACTTTCGTTTTGGTGAGGTTGTCGTAGGCGGACCTGCAAGAACGCATTATAAAGGTAAATCTAGTTGCATTTATTATTCAACAGGGTTCTCTTCGGCGCGCACTGTTTCCTCCACGCGTAATTCTCGAATTATCTCGCAGTGTACGTCGGGGTTGTATGAATAAATGAGAATGTTCTTAACGAATAATAAAAGTAGAAGCAGTGTTTATTTTAAAATATAAACATGGAAAAATAGCAACATGCATATTTTGCACAAATTATCTTTCACAAAAGGTAATAGAAGCTCCAAAGCATGTTATTTTTTGATTGAACGTATTTCATACGTTCGCCAGATTCTATGTTTTTGAGATTATGGATTTTTTATGTACTCCATCCAATTTTTCATCACGCATTCGAACCTACTCACGTAAATTCAAAATTTATACATTTGAAAATAAATTGAAAAAATAATGAAACAACAAATAAAAGGAAAGAAAATTTCTGTTTCTTTTATAGATTTATAGATTTACTTTTATAGATTTAAAAATAAAACATGACTGTATAATTCTGATTCAAAATAAAATGAAAAAGAGAATTTAAAAAATAAAAAGACGGTTTTCATTTCCTGCTACATATATCTTTTTCATTTAATCTTGATCTTTCTGAAGTTTTTTTTCCATTACGTACTTTATCTTTGATCGAGTGTACGTGTATATAAGCGTACAAAATGTATGTCTACAAAATAATATGTGATATTTTTATAATTATTAATGTAATATAAATTACACATATATTTTTAAAGATCCAAATAGAGTACTATTTTATTCGATAGCGTGCAAAACAAAATATATGTAGAATTTCTCATAAATTTAATTACTATCCATTATTTTCAAGCTAAAATTTAATTCAATAATTTTTTAATCAATTCGTATTTTTAATAATTAAAATATCTTTTTTATTATAATGAGTTGCGTATATTATTAAAAAATTAAATCGATTTGAACATTTTTAAGAAACCCACTCTCGGGAAACGCGATAATATCCAAACTCCTATTTAGGAAACTCTAATTAAGATTACGTGTTTATTATTCCAAATAATTATATTTTTATTTTTATTTCGTAATTTGTTAACTAGAATAATTTATTACTTGGATAATATCATCGATGACATGACGGGCCAATCCAAAGTTGCTTAATGTCCAAACTCTCACTTGAGAAACTCTAATAACGTTTTCGATGCAATCGGTTTTGATCGTTTCGAGAGTGATTAATGACGTTATACGATCTACTTTGAGTGACTAAAGTTATAATCAAACTCATAATCACATTTAAACAGTCAGATGCTTAATATTTACAAGGAAAATATATCGAAAGTATAATTATATAAAATTATTTCGCACTAAAAAATTTATTAATAATTCAACATATTCTACACTATTTTTCTTACATATTTTTAATCGAACCCGAGTTCGTGACGCATATTCAGTTTAATCGATCGTCAAACTCGCTGCAGTCGGAAACGCTTTAAGTTTAATCTTAACGTCTTTAACATTTCGAAATGTACAGCTTATTTTAAGCAAAAATTAATGAAAATATTTTAAAATAATTTTCTTTTATTTATACACACGCGTCAATTCCTGTTATTTTAAATCTGTTCACCAGCAAGCGCAAGCATGCAAAATGGTTCAAGATCTTTGTTTATGTTTCTCCAGGGTACATCCCCTTTCGATGAATAGAAACAGGGAGCAGAGTCGTCAGGGCTTCATTCACCCGGCACGCTTATCTTTCTCTTTTCTGTTATCGTTTGGAAAAAAATTTAGTCCTGCCTAGCGGAGAACCATGTGTCTAATCGCGCGGCGGTAGGATGTGGCTTGCGACACACGAGAATCCGTTGGCGGTTAGTTAAATCCGCTCGATTTCACACGATCTGTCTCCAGATGTGTTAAATCAGGGTCGCAACTAAGGATTTCGATGGAGATCGAAGCGACCGAGAAACGTACTTCCATAAGAAACGTAATTTCCGATATACCGCGCGCGCAGCCGGGTTTCTAATTGAAACTCTAATCTTTAATTTATGAATGTACACAGAAAGAATTCTGTTGAATCACCTGAAAATGATCTAAAAAAATCAGATATGAAATCTGAACCTTATTCTGTTGAGTCATAAAAATAATTGTGTAGAACATTTAAGCGTGATGTAAAAATGCAACGTCCTATATTCCAGCAATCAATTTAAATTTCCTGCATAATTATTTTTTAATCGAAATTCGATTAAATTTTAAAATAGTTATAAAATATAAAATAAAATAATTATAAAAGATAAACAAAATTAAGACGTTCTTTCCACAAACAATGAAAAAATAATAAATTTAATTAAATAAAAAAAAAATAAGCTACGAACGTTTCTTTTACGGCCGATTCGATCGCTGTTTTGTTAGAAATGTTTTATTAATTGTAATTAACACTGAAATTAAAAATGGATTATAAAATATCCCGAAGGGATGTGTATACGCGCGCGCGCGCGCGCGCGCGGTGTGTGTGTGTGTGTGTGTGTGTGTGTGTGTGTGTGTGTGTGTGTGTGTGTGTGTGTGTGTGTGTGTGTGTGTGTGTGTGTGTGTGTGTGTGTGTGTGTGTGAATGAAGCGCGGAGGAAGAAGCGAAGGGGAGGATAGGAGAGGAAAGAAGGGAGCGGATAACAAGGAAATGGAGAAAGGAAGATAAATGGAGAAAAATCACACAGTGAAAGGGGCGTGACATGCATTTGAAAGTGATGGTGTAGAATCACGGTGGGTGGGTGGGTGAATGCATGCGTGCGTGCGTGCGTGCGTGCGTGTATGCCTCCGTGCGTGCATGCGTATATATGAGCGGCGGACGCGTTCTCCGATCGGCGGTTTTTGTTCGGAGGGGATGTCGCGCGTCTCGGATGTTCGAGTTCGCGAATTCGCCTCGAGACGCGCGCTACGAATCGCGAATCGCGCGCTCGACCGCGCGTCACGCACGTCACGTCACGTCACGCACGTCACGTCACGTCGCGTCGCGTCGCGTCGCGTCGCGACGCGACGCGTCGCCGCTCTCACAGTGTTTATCTCGGGCCGTCAGTCGGCCTGTCAGACGGAGAGAGATCGGCCGGCGATCTCGGCCTGACAATCGACTTGGCCATGCGGCCGACACAGTGAACACTTACACGACCATGCCGTAGGCGCCCTCGCCCATGTATGACAGATTCGTGTAGCGCGGCCCGACCTCGAATGTTTGCCCGCGCACCACTTCGCAATTCGGATTCACGCTCGCGGAGCCCTCGCTCGCCGCCATTTTGACAACTACTTTGCGGCACCGTGCCCCGGCAGAGTGGCTCGGCAGAATGCTCCGCCGGAGAGAGAGCGACGCGCAACGACGCCGTGTCACTAACGCCGCGCCACCAGCCAGAGATCGCGCCTCGGCTCGGGTGGGCGCGGCGTGGGAAATGTGAAGGGCGGATAAAAAAGAGCGCTCGCAACGCCCCTGTCGTGCGAAGGCGTAAGCAGCCCGATTAAATCCCCCGACGGCATTCGACGAACCGAGCCAACCTCCCTCTCCCTCTCTCTCTCCTCCTCTCTCTCTCTCTACGTCGTACTCTCGTACGTACGTACGTACGTACCGTACCGTTACCGTACCGTAGACCGTACCGTACCGTACGTACGTACGTACGTACGTACGTACGTACTACGTACGTACGTACGTCGTACGTACGTACGTACGTCTTTCACCGTTCCGTACCCTTACCGTTCCGGTCGTTCGTCCGGTTCGTCGTACTTCTCGAAGTAACTTACGGTTACGTCCGTTCGTACCGTCGTCTCGTAACGTACACTACTATACTAGTAGTTACGTGTACGTACTACGTCTGTTCGTTACTTCTAGTCGTCGTCTCGCTAACAAACTACTACCTCCTACGTACTACCTCTATAATAATTAAATAAGTAGTAAGTAAAGTTAACGTTAACGTTACGTAAATTAACGTAACGTTAACGTTAACTTACGTTAATAAGTAAGTTACGTCGTATACCGTAACGTTAGTTAAGTTACCGTACCGTCCGTTCGTCGTACGACGGTACGTCGAGCGCGTATACCGTACCGACGACTACTACGACGTACGACGACCCTCCTCTCCTCTCTCTCTCTCTCTCTCTCTCTCTCTCTCTCTCTCTCTTTTCTCCCTCTCACCTTGTCATCGAGAGAGAAAGAGTAGGAAAGAAAAAGCGTGTACGTCAAAACTCGAGGAAGCGCGTAGTTTCTGCGAAAAAATATGACATAACGAGATGTCCTTTCTTTCTCTGTTTTTCTTTCCTTTTCCTCCTCCCTCTACCTTTTTTTCTTCCGTCCCTTTCTATCTCAATTTCGATGATAAGCACAAAATACATGACATCTTCTTGTAAAATCGAAACGAGTTTTTCTTGATGGAAACATTACGCAATGAAGCTGTAATCAATCATTATAAAATATTACATCTCGCTCTTTTATTATCTTTGTATTATGATTATATCAAATTATCAGAAGAAACACCGAGAAGGACAAATATCTAATACGTCATTGACGTCACAATGAATTTCTCGCTTATTGGATAGTTGCATATCGACTTGTCCCAATCGATTATCGATTCGAAGCAATTGGTCGATATTGCTCATTACTTGTGATCACGGCGTCTCGGTGTGTCTTGATCGCTGCTTCGCAATTTATTGTCGGCTTATCGGTGGAAATTGTAATTCGAGAGTGTTGTTAATAATTCACGAGGCAAGATGAACGCACCTCCGACCTTTGAGTCATTCTTATTATACGACGGAGAGAAAAAGTATGCCAATCTTGAATATTTGTTTGCATCTAATCTCATTTGCGATTTAAAATTGAAACTTTGATCGAATGTATTTTAATATCCATGTTTTTTTTGGAGGATAATAAAGGAACAGGACACCAAAGTGCCAAATGCTGCAATCTTTACGATCAATAAAGAGGATCACACGTTAGGAAACATGATTCGCAAGTATGTAAACATACGAATGCGTTAGGTTAATTCTGCGTTAAATTATCGAATATTAATTCTAATAATTTTGATATAGATTGCTAATTTTTGTGATTTTCTTTTGATTTTACAGCCAATTGCTGAAGGATCCTCAAGTGTTATTTGCTGGTTATAAAGTCCCACATCCCCTGGAACATAAATTTGTTATTAGAATACAGACGACTTCAGATTATACTCCACATGAAGCCTTTATGCACGCTATTACCGATTTGATCGCGGAACTTTCGTTGTTTGAGGAACGTTTTAAGGTACAAAGTTTAGATACTACAAAGAAAAATAAAGAATTAGATATAAAAATTAGGAATAGAAAATTACTTTGAAAAATGAAAGGATACTTTAGCATTCATTAATTATTGAAGCATAGTTTTCCATATGTCAAAATTTAATTTTTTATTCCTATGTTTTCTATGTTTAATTCTTTGTTCTTTAATTCTTTGTTCTTTTTTTATTTTATTGCAATTCAAAATATAAAATCAAAATATGCATTATTAAGAGTAATCTACTTTACAGGAGGCAATCAAGGAGAAGAAAGAAGGCTTGGATTAAATGGTTGAATCTGCATCCTGCTTATATATTTTATAATTTATCATGTTTTCACATTTCATGTTTAGTTTTATTATGTGCATTAGATAGTAAACATGATAAGCATGATAAGACATGTAAATAATTTTACATTAAGAAGGAAAGAATTAATTGAAGATTAAGAGGCTGTGTAAATAATTAAATAATAAATAAATTTTTTAAATAATGAACTCATTCTATGTGTGTGAAACTTATTCTATGTATCTAAATAAATTCTGTTTTTGTAAATAATTAAAAAATACAATATTTATACAGTTATGAAGAAATTTTGTATCAAATATATTTTATATTTCATACTTCAATTATAATTCTTACATTTATACGTATATATGTATCAACAAATGCGAATCTGAAATTAATTTTATTAAAGAAAATGTTCACTCAGAGTAAAAACAAATTTCCTTATTGAAAATTGGAATAACTTCTTTTAAAATAAAATAAATACATATATGTTTCTATGAAATTAAATTTATCCAAATATTTACTCATAAATTTACCCATAAATTTATCCATAATTTTTAAATGCTTTGAAACGGAATATGGTGATAATTTTCATGCGCACTTAAATATTGTCAGTTATTTGTCGAAAACACTTTGTCCAGTTTGATGATACATTTTTAGTTGCTTTTGGGAACGTCATAATAAATACGTCATATGAATATGCCTTTAAGCATTTTTCGACGCACATGTGCGAAGAACGTGTTCCGAGTTGTGCTGTTGCAAGTGCCGTGATGTTGATCTGATCTCTCGTGAATGTTAACTTCGATTTGTGTTTGAAATTAAGATTTAAACGTGTTAAACATGGAGAATTCAGAAAACACAGTCAAAGATATCAATGATGATGATAATATCGAAAAAGTCATGTGGAAAGATCTGGTAAGTATCGAATCACATTGATCTTAATTGTAACCTCAAATGAAGTTACACACGTTGTTGACCATGCCGTGATTAATTCGCATAAAATTATTAATATAAACATAATTTTTGAAGTTTACAATGGAGAAGAATACTCATTAATAATACTTAAGGAAGATACATTTTGCGTAATGTTTATTTGATGTTAGATTACACTAGAGTCATACAAACCACATAATTGTAAATTTTTATGAACTTTTTAATAAAAAGAATATTTTAAATAAATAATAACAATTGATATTATAGGGACTTGTGGATATACTCTGCAAAGCATGCTTAGATTTAAAATGGAAAGAACCTACCAAGATTCAACGGGAAGCTATCCCTTTAACACTTCAAGGTAATTTGATTTAATGATTGATTTAATGATTTAATGATTTGATTACAATCAAGTTCTAGAAAATGGTATCAATTATTTTTTTTGTTTTATTGACAGGGAAGGATGTGATTGGATTAGCAGAGACTGGATCTGGAAAAACTGCAGCTTTTGCTTTACCCATACTACAAGCATTGTTAGAGAATCCACAAAGATATTTTGCGTTAGTGTTAACACCTACAAGGGAATTGGCATTCCAAATCTCAGAACAATTTGATGCGATAGGTAAGAATAACTTGTTATATCTGTTAAATAATTTGATTCATATCACATTATGGTTTCAGGTTCTGGTATGGGTGTGAAGACTGTAGTACTAGTAGGTGGAATGGACATGCATGCACAAGGACTGATATTAGAAAAAAAACCTCATATCATCATTGCTACACCTGGTAGATTAGTCGATCACTTGGAAAACACGAAAGGCTTCAATCTACGACAATTAAAGTTTCTGGTATATATATGACAAATACATGGATTTATTTTGACAAAAATCGCACAAAATTCTATTCTCCCTCATTTTTCAATTTATTCTCCTTAAGGTCATGGATGAGGCAGATCGCATTTTGAATATGGATTTTGAAGTGGAAGTTGATAAAATTCTCAGAGTAATACCACGAGAAAGGAGGACGTTATTATTTTCAGCGACTATGACTAAGAAGGTGCAGAAGTTACAACGTGCATCTTTACGAAATCCTGTAAAGGTTGAAGTATCTACAAAGTATCAAACTGTAGAAAAATTGCAACAGTATTATATATTTATTCCAGTGAAATTCAAGGTACAAAATATAAATATCGTTATTATTAATCGTAAAATCAATTATTATATTAATGTTTCTGTAAAAAATATTGAAATAATTATATCTAAAACGATTATTGTAGGATGTGTATTTAGTACACATTTTGAATGAACTGGCGGGCAATAGTTTTATGATATTTTGCGGGACCTGCAACAACACCGTGAGAACTGCTCTATTGTTGCGAAACTTAGGATTCACGGCAGTTCCTTTGCATGGACAAATGTCACAAAACAAGAGGATCGCCGCGCTTACAAAATTTAAGGCGAAAAATAGATCTATATTAATTTCAACAGACGTTGCTAGCAGGTTCATAATTTGAATAAAAAATGTATTAAAATATTATAAAAATAGTTTTTATATCATTTTTACATTAATTTTACAGAGGTCTCGACATTCCACATGTAGATATTGTCATCAATTTTGATATCCCTACGCACAGTAAGGATTATATACACAGAGTAGGTCGAACTGCACGTGCAGGTCGATCAGGCCGTGCTATTACGTTTGTTACACAATATGACGTAGAGCTGTATCAACGAATAGAACAATTGATATCGAAGCAGCTGCCGTTATATTCTACAGAAGAGAATGAAGTAATGTTGCTGCAAGAGAGAGTGAGCGAAGCGCAGCGA